TTTACATTAACCAGAAAAAAAAAGGCTTAGACAGAAGCGTCTATCTTTTTTAAATTTGGATTTTTTAATGTCACTATAACAACAAAAACATTTCGATTTCATTTTTGGCTTGAAAAAGTCTGAAGACGAAACGTGTCGGCAAAATCTAAGATTTTTTTCCAATTGTCATTTCATACAATATATATATATATATATATATATATATATATATATATATATTAGAAATCGGTTTTGTCATTACATAGATTTTAATAACAAAGAATTCAATTCAAAATTCCCAGCATCCCTCGTTCATTCCAAGTGTAGTCAAACCAACGTTAAAGATTTTGTCCGATAAAATCCCTTCTGACGAAACGCGTCACGCGAAAACTTTATCAGATTATTTTACTCCGCTATTGTCATTTATATATTAAAATCTATATATCGTCTTTTCATAATATTAATTTATAAAATTTCACTTATTTTCGTGAAATACATGTTTGATGCCTTGACACATCTTTTTTCATTAGAAGATTCGGGTCTTTCAACATCATACCCCCTACCCCCGGTAACACTGATTGGGTATCAACTTATGTGACATCCGTCAGCTACAAGTTTCCTCATTTTTAATAACTCATTCGCCTCCTCTTGGCAATTTATCGTCCAATCACGGATAACTTCCGGTTCGCCAGCAATCTACGCTCTTCCATAAAAAAAAAAGGGGAAGCAAACGTAGTAATGGTTTTGATCTGATAACGAACATGTCGACGCGCTCGGCTTGATGTGGTAAGTATAGATATATAACTTCTATGTACTAACAAAAACGGAGCCATTATACATCTAATGTAAATAAATTACTAACAGCTGTGCTACAAGAAACCACTGTATGCTTGAGTGATAAGAAATGACAGAATAACACTATTTTCGGATAAATATTGGCAAAAATCAGACGTTGACATACCGTCATGTTTTGTTTAGAAATACGTTCGCCTAATATATGGCTAGAGAATTACTGAAGGTAGAGATATACTTTTATTGGTTATAATGAATGCAGTGTGTTATATATATTAGGAATTGGAGGTTATCAAGACAAGGAGGATAGATAACGATTGACGGTTGACTACAATACGTTAAGATTATAGGTTTCAGGAAAGCACCCACACGGGAGTCAGTTCCACAGAGTAGCTGGAAAAGTGAATGCAATTTTTTCCTTACATTAGAAATAAGTAGGAAATGGTAATGATTCGACGCGTAGGAAGTAGCATTTTATGCCTTAGTTGTAACTTTTGATCTGGTTGAACTAAAACATTAAACTCTTGTACTATGGAAAATGTTCATCCTGTATAAGTCCCAAGAGCCACTTGAGGCAGAAGGTTACTTTTGTGACTCAATGAACACTCGTTGCCATTTTTCTGATGCCAATGAATCCTCCTTGCCACTTTCGTAATGCTTGTTGTAGTAGAGACTTTGTAATCGCAGATACAACTATAGTAACGCCGTTGAACAATACTGGTGTCAGACGGCTTTGAATAACTGTTACAGGGTCCACCCCTTTTTCATATAAGTGGACTCTACCAGTGTTACTTGGACTGCTGCCGTTAAATACCCAGAGCTAGACAGTCAAAGAGAGAGATAGTAAGAAGACTGTGATTGTGATTGAGTTGGAGGTAGAGTAATAGTGTGAGGTACCACTTGTAGAAGTCAGTTACAAGCACGTAGACTCTAAGTCCTACTTCGAGACTGTATATATCTATATGTTATTGCTACTAACCGCCTTCCTGGATTTACTAACAGTATTACTCATTGTATTTATTGTGTAAATACATTTAATTTCTTATCTTTGATTCTTGCGTTTGTCATTCATTGGAGACCGAATTTCATCTCGGAATCCACAACAATAACACTCGAACTAATTGTACTTGCTCGATAATACTCACTCGAATAGTAAACACTGAATAGTGATCTAAATAGAGAAATAGTATAGTGAATAGATAAGAGAATAATAATAGATGATAGAAGAGGAATAGCGATCCGAATAGTAATAGAGGATAGACTAGAAATGGAGATCAGTATAATATAGTGGATAGAATAGAAATGTGATTCAATCTAGACGCCATGCGACTTCCGATATATGCGTTTCCTCTGTGGTCACGTGATCCACTTATTTCCATAATGGGATCGCCTATGTTTGCTCACTGGTAATCTATGTTCAAACTCATGTGTCGGTAGAGACACTCTATTCTTATATAACAGCTACAAAGTAAGAGGCCCAGTTTATTGGAATATGTGGTGAAAAGTAAGAGTTAAGCCTAGAAATGAACAGGTTACGATTATCTTAATAAGGGAAGTACCTTGTTGGGAGTTTGTTCCACAAAGCAGTGGTTCGGAGGAAGAAGCTACTCGAGTGAAACCTATATCCCGTTAATGGAATACGAAGAGAATGCGAGTGGATCGCTAACATGTGCATGGCGGTCGTGAGAGGTTAGTGCTGATGATGGAACTAAGGAACGTAGTTCATCTGTACACTTTCCCTGGAAATAAAGATAAGAGCAGCGAGAGGCTTCCGAAGTTCCGGCTATATGAAAAGGGTTGTAGCGTGAAGAATAATTTGTCATCCATAAGGACTCGGAGATGCTTTTTGGACACAATCGGGACTGGAAAGGGAAAAGTGGGCACCTCCGGCCCATATATGGGAACAGTACTCAATTTGTGGCTTGACCTGGCTCTTGTAAAATTAGATAGCAGAAGGGATCAGATACTTATTTGGAGCAGTACAGGGAACGGATCATTTTTCAATTAGTGATTGAGATCGACGTTGAACTCGAGTTCAAACAGATATTCAATCCACAAAATGTCTCATAGCTAATCCCAGCTATGAGAAATTTTGTCCATCAACATCTGAATAAGGCTTTTTTCATTTCAAAGGAAAATATGATGATATGAGGAAACAAATATGCGGAAACACATAGAGAAATAAAGACACCTTATGATACCCAACAGAAACCCTATATGACGATCAATCACCGTTAAGCAGCGTTTCAGGAAAATGCTGCTCTAGTGGAACTTATATCTGACCAATGGAATACAAATAGAATGTGGGTGTTTCGCTGCAATGGGCGTGGTATGCCCAGTTTTAGTCATGAAGGTTAGAACTCTGGTGGAACTAAGGAAAATATTTCGTCTGAAAACATTTCATGGAAATAACGATGGAGCAGCGAGAGGTTTTGTTTTTAGAAAAGGGGTTGTGGGTTGGAAAATAACTCAACAACCACAATTACGGGGAGATACTTTTGGAATCTATCAAGATGATGTTCGTTCTGTCCATATATGGCAGCAGTACTCCAATTTCGGTCTGGTCTCGCTCTTGCGAAGGTAGAGCATAACAAGAGTCAGTTTACTTACTTGAGCCTTATAGGGGAACTAACTAGGCAAGAGTTTCAAAATAACTCTCAATTGGCGCGGAAGAGAACACCAGTTCAACACCATAGGCGAACATTCAGCATCCGCTCAGTAATAATGAAACATCATTAGTTTTGCAAATGATTGTAAATAGCACACATTGAAAAACTAATTTTAAATACTTTTCGGCCCAGGAAACACGACGAACGATGTGATTCTGCTTCCGGGGGCGGGGGGCGAACAACAAGTTTGGTGCACGTTTTTAAGTATTTCATAATGCACCATCTTGAATTTTTGTGTACATTTTGACGATTTAATGAGAGAAAATAACACTCGGAAATGCATTTACTAAATTTGTTATAAATCCGCCATTTTTCATGCCTCCCCACTTTTTTTAAAGCCTTTCATGTCTCGAGGAGAAATTTAGAAGCATAACACAGAACTTATCAAGAACTTTAGATAACACAGTTATCAAGAATAAAATTACTGTCACTCCCCCGAATAAGTTTGTATTCTCAGACGACTTAAATATCGAGAAGTTTGAACTTTCTCCCTCAACATCTGGAGGAGACTGTTTCATTTCAAATGAAACTATTATGACATGAGGAGACAAATATCAAGAATATAAAAAATAGAGAAATAAAGACACATCTCATGAGCTCCAACATATACCCTATATGAGAGTCAATCACCGTTAAGCAGTGGTTCAGGGGAAGTATCTGCTCGCGTTGAACTTACATCTCACCAGTGGAACAGGAAGCGAATGAGGGCGATTCCTACAATGGGCGTGGCGTGGTGTGGCGAGTCTTAACCGTTAGTTTTAGAACTGATGGAACTGGGGAATATATTTCGCTGAAACACTTTCCATAGAGAATGGAGAATAGGATTTCCGCTTAGACTATTTTGTATTTTATCAAGGCTGGAAAATGAGGACCGTATAGCTCCAACCCTCCATATGTGTGTATAGGTTACATCGAATTAGTGAGACCGGATCACTCTACGCAAACCAATGGCTGACATAATGTCATATTTATAGAATATCAATTTCTGTTGAAATCTATTAGCAGCGCCCTGTTAAATACTGAATGCTCGACAAGCTCTATGCCGTTAAGTAAGATATGTGAAAGCCTATCACCACTGATATGACATATATGAAACTTTTCGTGACAGTTGGCGTTGCTCAAGACGAGATGGCATTTGTGATGACGTCTGAGTGGTGACGCTGAAACGCGTGTGGCTCTGTTATGGCCGTTAATTTAAGAGCATTCACACCCGACTGGACTTTTATTTAGTATACCTGAGAAGTCGTTCTTTGATTTATGACACGAAGCAATATGTTCAGATGAGAATCGGCGACCTGACAATCCGGCCTTTACGTTCTAGAGATCAAGTAACGGGCGGATTGATGACACATCAAAGATTGGATGTTATCAGTTTTATGGCAGCAACTTTCCAAGTGGAATACCGATAAGATTCCAGAAATCAACACACACACACACACACATATATATATATATATATATATATATATATATATATATATACAGGTATTCATAAACTTATACATGATAAGCAATTCAAGTCCAGATCTCATTAAAAGTAGTCTACGTTTGCAAATACAAATGTTTCCTTTTACGGAAAATTATGTACGTTTTCATGCTATTAAATCCATCTGTCTGTCTGTATCATCTATCTATCTATCTATCTATCTATCTATCTATCTATCTATCTGTCTGTCTGTCTGTTCACATACATCTATCTATATCTGTCCATTATCTATCGCAGTCTGTTCCTATCTATCTCATTCTGTTCGTATCTTTCTATCTATATATCTCCTTCTATTCATATCTATCTATCTATCTATCTATCTATCTATCTATCTATCTATCTATCTATCTATCTATCTGTCTATAGCTGTTCACTATCTATCTATCTATCTATCTATCTATCTATCTATCTATCTATCTATCTATAGCTGTTCACTATCTATCTATCTCAGTCTTTTCATATATATCTATCTATCTATATCTGTTCATTATCTATCTCAGTCCGTTCCTATCTATCTTATTCTGTTCATATCTTTCTATCTATATATCTCATTCTATTCATATATCTATCTATCTATCTATCTATCTATTTTATCTATCTATCTATGTCTGTTCACTATCTATCTATCTATCTATCTATCTATCTATCTATCTATCTATCTATCTCAGTCTGTTCATATATATCTATCTATATCTGTCCATTATCTATCTCAGTCTGTTCCTATCTATTACTCTGTTCAAATCTTTCTATCTATATATCTCATTCTATTCATCTCTCTCTCTCTCTCTATCTATCTATCTATCTATCTATCTATCTATCTATCTATCTATCTATCTATCTATCTATCTATCTATCTATCTATCTATCTATCTATCTATCTATCTATCTATATCTGTCCATTATCTATCGCAATATATTCCTATCTATCTTATTCTGTTCATATCGTTCTATCTATATATCTCATTCTATTCATATCTATCTATCTATCTATCTATCTATCTATCTATCTATCTATCTCAGTCTTTTCATATCTATCTATCTATCTATCTATCTATCTATCTATCTATCTATCTATCTATCTCTGTCCATTATCTATCGCAATATATTCCTATCTATATTATTCTGTTCATATCGTTCTATCTATATATCTCATTCTATTCATATCTATCTATCTATCTATCTATCTATAGATTACTTTACAAAAAGATCAAACATTTTAGCCATAGTTTCTGACTATTTTTCCTAACAAATGGACACGGGAACAAGCTATCTAACGATAAAATTACATAATAAGCAAAGCGTATCTAGAGCTTGTTAAAAGTCGAAATGCAAACATATCTTTATTTGCCATACGAATGTAAATATTTAAAATGGACACGTCACATTGGGGTGATGGGTAAAAAAAAAACTAGCATGGCGTAACATTATGACTATGTAGCGTGTTAATTCGTCATTCTAAATTTTTTAACCTTGAGCCAGAATAAGTTGAGATCAGTTGTAAATACATCACTATATCCTCAATGGTTGTGACCTTGCAATTTACTTTGTTTTTGAAAGTGAGGTGAAGGTTAACGAGCTTATTTATTAATTTTCTTCATTGTCTGGTGTGTTGGACTGTAAGCAGGTTCCCCACAATTGTAGACTTATGATACGCTGACTTTATAAATGAGTGCCTCACGACGTGGTAATGGTTAACGAGCTAATCAATTACTAACTTCTGTGTTGTGATTTCTGTTTTCAGTGGGGGCTCCCCAGTTATAGGCTTATACCAGATGAACCTGTGATTAATAGATAGACACCTCGCGCCGTCCATTGGCGGTTAATGATGCCGGCTCGGAAAATAAAATACTGTTAACCTGTTGAGCTGTTGACTCTCGTCGAGTGCGAGATTTCAGGTGTGTGCTAGAGTCGTCGAAACTCGATAAATAACTGGAAAACAATAGAAAGCTGCCAATGTTAGCGCGCTGCAAACGATTAGAAATAACATAAAAACTAATATTGTTGATGATTTTCAAATCAACAATGAAGATAAGAGCATAAAATACAAGAAGTATAGTTTAGAGACTTACAGTGGAGTTAAATAAATGATCGTACAGCAAACAAACGTTTGGTATTCTCATTTATAGCGAATGAAAACCTCAAATAACAAAGTTATGTCTATATTTCTGAGATAAGGTATTATGTACAGTATTTACATTAGTCGGACTATTGTTCTCATCTTTGTCCTCAAGGACACATGGCACAGTGGATAAAGGCGTTGGTTAGATCCAGTGACAGACCCAAAAAGAAGGTGTGTTCAATACCTGGTTAAGGCAGTGGAGAACTTTCAGAGGGAAAATTAACAGGAGATAACTGATAACTGACATCCATCAAACATGGCACGTGGAACTAGAACAGTCTACCCCAGTGACCGAAATAAAGGGTTCAGTTCGAAATTCCAACCACCTGAAGAAGGCCGGAGCGTACAACGGCCGAAACGTTGTGACAAATATGGCGACAAAGATGAGGACAATAGTCCGACTAATGTAAATACTGTAACAAAGTTATATATGTATTTGAGGGGCATAGAATTAGAATCTGCAATTTAAAATTAAATTCATCGATAAGTGATAGTTATGCAATTTTTTTTATATTTCGAATAGGGGAAAAATTGTTCGTACAGTATCAATTTTTGCATTATAATACGGTAGATATTGGTTGTACTTCAAAGTAGAAGATTCTAAACTGTTCTAGAATATTCTCAGTAACTCTATTGCAACATTCAGTTCAAAATTGGATCATTCTGCACTCACTGTTCACGGTTCTTATAATGGCTAGATGTAAGGAAATGACTTGTGCTCAAAAAGAGCTAATTATTAAGCTATGGAACAATGGAAAAAGTTACAGAAACATCTTCAGTGACACGAACATAGCTTTTTTGGTTCATTTATTGCAAGATTTAAAAGACGTAATATTGTTGAAAACAAAGGCAGACCCGGTGCTCCCAGGAAGATCTCTCCTAGATTACGAAGAAAGCTGATGCGACAGGTCCAAAATAACCCAATGGCCATCAGACAAGACCTTCAGAATGATCTGAGTTTGTCAGGAGTTAACGATTAGTAATGAACTAGGCAGAGACGGTATAAATTTGCGCTCCCGAAGAAAGACACCACTCCTGAAACGGCATGGAGATGCCAGGTTGAAATTTGTGACAGAGCATAAAGATAAGGAAAATCTTTTTTGGGAAACAGTTCTTGGGACAGATTAGAGTAAAATTGAGTTGTTCGGTCGCAATTCCCTGAATCATGTATGGAGGAAAGACGGCGAAGTCAAATTTGGGGGGAGGATAGTATCATAGTTTGGGGCTGCTTTTCGATGCGAGGTGTTGGCAAACTAGCAATTTTAAACGGTAGAATGAATGCAAAAAATATCAACAAATCCTAAGCGAAAATGTATCGCTTTCTGTAGAGAATGTAGGGGTTTCCTCCTGATTGGATCTTCAAACAGGACAATGATCCCAAGCAGACTGCTAAGAGTACGAAGAATTGGCTTGCTAATAACAATGTTAACATCTTACAATGGCCCAGTCAGTCGCCGGATTTGAATCGCATAGAGAATTTATGGCGGTTTTTGAAAAATAAGATCCGTGATAGAGGTATGCGAATCTTTAATTAAAGACTAGAGGAAGAGATTGGTTGTTGTTGAACTTAATAAAGGCTTTGCTACAAAATATTAATTGGAGAAAACATGTTTTGTTCTGTAGTACGATCATTTTTTAAACCCCTAAAATTTAAATATTGTTATGTTTTCTTAACTATGGGATATTATTTCGTTTTATATGCATACATTTTAGTATGCAATCTGATACAGTAGATATATTCCCGTTTTATTAATTTAATATGTTACAAATAAAAATAGGAAATATTTTCATGTGTACGATCACTTATTCAACCCCACTGTATGTTTTAATTATTGCTAAAATGTCAACTCTTGGAAATCCTAATTCATGCAAAGAAACATGCAAGGGAATTTCCGAGAAGGTTTGCATGAATAGCAATTCCTATTTATGGCGACTGTTGCTCTGTTTTCTTTATTTTATATTTAAAAAAAAAAAAGATTCTGAAGCAACTGCGCGTCCTGGGTAAGTCGACAAACTACGTCCAACAGAAAGGTCACCGATCAGAAGGTTTTGAGGAGCATGGAACCACCAGTTAATTGCTGATGTTCCCAGGTCCACCCTGACACGGGATGGTAGCACCTATTAGGGTCCCAACTATGGGCAAATAGTCAACGCCCGAACTGGGGTCAAAGTACGATGAAAGTGTAAAAAATAGTTTTTTATTACCAGTAATGAATTTTTGAAGAAAAACTCTTACGAGAAATCTATTTATGGAAAATAAACAAAAATATTAGCAGAAATACATTTTTTAAAAAGTATTACCAGCCATAAAAATCTTGTCGGCATTAAATAACCCATTCAGGCTGATATACCGTAAACCAAACCAAATCAAATCAAGCAACTTCAGAGCACATAGGATTAGGGGTTTTTTCACGCTAGTTTTTATTTTTTTTATCTTGTTATTTATCTCATCTTGTTTATATTCTTTCTTTCGTCGCCTCATTTTTTTCTTTATTTTTCCTTTTCCTTCGAGATTCATTCTTTCTTTCTTTCTTTCTTTCTTCAGTTTGCTCTTTCGTTAGTCGCTATTTTTCATTCTTCCTTTAGAGCCTTCTTTCTTTCTTTTTCCCTCTTTTCTTTCTTTCTTTCTTTCTTTCTTTCTTTCTTCGGTTTTCTTTTTTCTTTCTTTTTTTCTTTCTTCGGTTTTCTCTCTTTCTTTCTTTCTTTCTTCGGTTTGTTCTTTCTTTCGTTCGTCAATTTTTTTCGTTCTTCCTTTCTCTCTTTCTTTCTTGCTTTCTTCAGTTTTCCCTTTCATTTCTCATTTTTTTTCTTTCTTTCTTCAGTTTGCTCTTTCGTTTTTGTTCGTCGTTCTTTCTTTTCGTTCTTCTCTTTCTTTTATTTTCTCTTTCTTTCTTTTCGTCTTTCTTTCTTTCTTTTTTTCAGTTTTCTCTTTTTATTTTCTCGTTCTTCCATCAGACATTTCTTTCTTTCTCTTTCTAATTTCCCTTTGTTCTTTTCTTTTCTTTCTTCAGACTATTCATTTTTCTCGTTCTTCTGTTTTCTTTCTTTCTTTTCTCTTTTCTTTCTTTTCTTCATTTCATTTCCAACTTTCTTTCTTTAGAATATTCATGTTTTTTCTTTTTCTTTTATTTTCTTTTTTTCTTTTTTTCTCTTTTTTTCCACAGAGAATTTTTTCTTATTTTTCTTTCTTTGGTTTCTTTTCTTTAATTTTTTTTTCCTTTTTCTTTTCTTTCTTTTTCAACTTATCTTCAGACTTTAATTTTTTTTTCTAGTCTTTTCTTCACTTTTGTTTTCTTTCCTTTTTTTCTAAACATATTTCTTTCTTTTTTTCTTTCCTTTTCTTTCTTTTTCTTTCTTTTTTCTTTCTTTCTTTCTTTCAACTTCTTTATTCATTCTCTTAAATTTTTTCATTTCCTTTTTTTTCTTTTTTTTTTTCTTCCTTTTCATTTTTTCTTTTTCTAAGAGATATTTCTTTCTTTTTTTTCTTATTTTTCAGATAGCATTCTCTTTCGTTCTTTTTTATTGCCTTTTTTCATTTTTTTTTTCTTTTTCCTTTTTTTTTTTCTTGCCATTTCTTTTCTAAAAAAAATTTTTTTTCTTTCTTTCCTTTTTTTTTTTATTTTTTTTTTTTTCTTTCTTTCACCTTTCTTTCTTTCTTTTTTTTTTTTTTTCTTTTTTTCATTCATTTCGTTTTTCTTAAATTATTTCTTTCTTTTTCCTTTTTTTTTTCTTTTTTTTTATTTTCTATATTTTTTCTTTCTTTTTTTTTTTATTTCAATAGAGCATTCTCTTTTTTTCTTTCATCTTAAGGGACTTTTCCTTCTTTCTTTTTCCTTCCTTCATTCATTGCCAATTCCTTTCTAAACGATATTTCTTTTTTTTTTCTTTTTCTTTTTTCTTTTTTTCTTTCTTTCTTTTTTTCATTTTCTTTCTTTTTCTTCTTTTTTTTTTTTATTCTTTTTCCTTCATTCATTCCATTCTTTTCTAAATTTTCTTTCTTTCTTTTTCTCTTTTATTCCTAAATTTTTCGTTCTTTCATCTTTGCCTTTTGGCATTAATTTTCTTTTTTTC